ATTTGTTGCAAGTTGCTTGAGACATCAAATTGCCATAAGCTTGACTTTACTACAGTATAGAAATGTATGCAAAAGTATTAAGTCTCGACCTTAAAAACATTTCAGAAGAATGAGACTCTCTCTCTGTTAAAAGATACAGATCAATCATAAGCAGCTTCCAGGTGTGCAAGATGGGCAAGTTAGGGATGGAGGCTGAAGTATGTAAGAGTGACAGATGTTCAGCATCTCAGGATCAGGTCAAGATTAGATTTCTGAGTAACAAAATAACATTTTCTCCATGGGCTTTATCTATGGTCTTATACAGGTCACCAATAACTTCCAGGAACAATTTGCTAATTTGCATATCAAACTACATGCTGAAAATTAAATTTGACCAATTGCCTTTTTTTGTTTTGTGCCTAGCTTACAACACATCTCCCCCTCAAAAAAAACCCACAACAAAAGGAGTACCACGCCCTGAAGAAGACATTAATTCATTGCTCACTTCCATAGAGATTATTTATGGTTTCATCATATTACAGTAGTTCTTTGTTTATTTCTACACACTCCTCCTGGGTATGCATGGATTTAGATGCATCTTCCACTAAGAACAGCTGTGGGAGTCCAAATCTATGTACATCCTAACACAACAACATACCCCTTCCAAAATACCAGAATTATTATATATTTATACACACACACACACACACACACACACACATATATCTGGGTCCCAAAGAGCAAAGACAGATACACTTTGTTTTGGTAACATTTTGTAAGAAACAAACTGGCCCTAATCAGAGGTGTGTACCAAATTATGTAAAAGTGAAAACGCATTGTGGATGCCAATTATTAGATTCTTCTGCTCATTTTTAATGCATATTCCTACCAGCACTGGATCATTTCCTACGGTCAAAACCTCATGTTCTTTTTGTCTGACTGGACCTAGATTCTGTACCGTTTTGATGCAGCAGCCTGGCAGTTCTCTATTAGCTTTATAGAAAATAAAATAAATATTTTAATTAAATATGAAAAATAGAGTAGCACCTTTAATATAAAAAGAAAGTCATTTTATTCTGCATGTTGCTTCCAAATCTTTAGCTTTCCAAGTAGAATAGCTTAGGATACTACTCTTTGTGGTGATAAGTATAAGTGGAAAGCAAAAGCTTTCTGAAGATATGTAGGACATAAAACTTTAACTTTCATATAGTGCTGTATGGGAGCATTGGGCTCACCTAGACTGGCCTTTACATCACCTTTAATAATACATGCTACTATATTATGGAGCTTTCAGGCTTCTGCCAATGACATTTGTGTGCTTACGACGAGCCAGATCCCAATGCCATTGAACTCGTTGATGTTGGTGGAAACTTGGCAACAGGATCAGAATATAAAAGTTTGTATAAGTAAATAAGCCTCTTCTAAAACAAAGCTGGCTCATACTTATACAGACATGTCCCCATACTGCTGCCTCATCCATCACAACATTCCTTTGAAATGGATGTCACAAAAAGCTGAAATTTAGCCTAAAGGTTAATTACTACAAACCAAGAAAGCCTTCCTACTCAATAGTCAAGTAATGTATAAACTGCTAACAGCAATTAAGAACTCCTTTCTTAGCAAGAATGTGAATCCTGAAGACCTAAGCTTTCCAAAATAATGCTACATTTCAATCTTTGTAGAGAGCATTGGAGAATATATATGTAGAGGAAGGATATTGAAAACCCCTGTGATATCCAATTTACAGGAATGCAGCTGGGCAGCATAGAGAGCAGCTCCCTGCAAGTAAGTCTTTGGAGGGGAAAGGGTGTGGGCAGCTCAAGGCCCCCATGCTGAAGAAGGGAATGGGATAAGGGTAGAGGCTGGGGATGCTGCCCAGCCACCTAGGGCCAGGGAGGGAAGTGGGATGGAGCTGGGGGCAGCTCATCCAGGGGATCAGCATCCTGCTGCTTAAAAATGGCAGCAGGGACGCTTGAACTAAAGCTTGTTGAGTGAGCTTCAGTTCAAGTGCTGTTGCCACCATTTTTAAGCATGGGGACACTTAAGTGGGGCAGAGCTGAGCAGGTCGAAGGCAAATGAGGGTGCCTGCTGTGGGGTTGGGGTTCTCTGCTCCGCCGCAGCCCCATGCCAGCCACGCATCCCCTGCTTGCCCGACAGCAGGAGGCACAACTCGCTGCTCCCACTGCTGCCGGGAGGTCAGGGGGGCACAAGGAAGCATAGGGCTCCCAGAACACAGGCAGCAGAGCGGAGAGCCCCAAACCCACAGCAAGTGGCCTGCATCTACCCCATGCAGAAATCTGGAAGCGCATGTGCCCCACCATGCCTCCCCCAGGGGATGCACGCAGAGGTGGGGAGCTGCGCCCCCCACCCGGATGAGCCACCGACAGCTTTGTCCTGCTCTCTTCCTTGGATCCCATGCACTGCCCTGGCTGGGCAGCACCCCCAGTCCTTGCCCCACTCCCTTCCTCAAGTCAGGGAGTCAATCTGCCTTCCCCCCACCTGTCCCTTCCATAGACTTACCTGCAGGGAGCTGCTCTCCACACTGCCCAGCTGTACTCCTGGCCATACCCACACACGTGCATGCAGCGCCCCCTGCATCTGACTCCTGGCATCCCCAAGCAGGACCCCTTGCAGGCTGGAACATTGCCTGCCTGCAAGGGGAACCCCACTATTTCCCGAGGGAACCCAGGCATCCGGGGACTCTGGCCTTGTGGGCAAGAGGAAACCCAGGTGTTCAAGGGCCCCAGCCAGAAGGCATAATTAATTATATTTATTGATGAACATTATTGGCTACACTGGCCAAAAAAAAGCCAATAACCAATAACATAAATTTCCCTTTTTATCAGTGCTAATCCAATATGCAACAGATATAATCGGTGCACCTCTACTTTTAACTATTTCTCTTCTCATCAAAGCACGAGTAGAACTGATATATAGTGCTTGCATTTGCAGAGTGCTGTATGAATGAACCAGGTGATAGTCATTGTAATAAATTAATCCTATTTGAAGTCTCACCAATACTTCCTGTCCTTGGCAAGTGTGCCAGTAACTTTCAGCCTTGTTCTAGGCCCAATTCAGCAGCCCACCCCCACAACCCACACACACACACACACACATCTGTACACGTGCAGACAGACAGAGGCAGTCCCACAGATAGCAAAATCTGGCCAACCAAAAAAGAGGCCACAATAAAGGATATTAATGAATAAAGAATGAAGAGCATTATAATGTAATCACTAGAACAAAGCTACACGAGTATGCATCTTATTCCAGTACAATTTAAGAAAGGTTTGTTAGAGCAATATTTAATATGTTACATTTTTCAATCAAGAGCTGGTACTAAAAGATGCATTAAAGCTAATGGAATTCAGAATTGTGGTTATCTGAAGCCTTACAGTTTGCTTAAGCATTCCTTACATTTTAAATACTGAATTAGGCTAGAACTTTGCTGAAACAGAGTTAAAATTACATTTTAAACTCTGTGGTTAATCAATGAAAGTCAAGAAACAAAACAAATACAAGCAGCTACCCGTGTCCCTTCATTTCAAGAAAGCAGAGACGGAACAGCACTCTTGAAGTACTTAGGGGCCTAGAAAAGAAAAAAAAAAACCCAGACATATTACCTTCTAAAGCAGCAGATTTAGTTAAGTGTTCTCTTTTATACTTATTCCAAATGGCACATAGTATTAATACTACTAAAATAAGCTAGCAAAATGTCAGGTAAGAGGACACCATTTGGTACAAGTAGTAGAATGCTTAAGGGCTCAAACAGATTATTTTCTGCTCAAAGTTATAATAGAAATTACTCTACACTAACCTGGAAATTGAATGAGGGTTAATGGATCCAATTAACCCAATTCCTTGAAGAGGGAAGGGGTGTGTGTGTGTGTGTGTGTGGGGGGGGGGCAATTTCTTTTATACTTCTGAAAAAGAATTACACGGTCATCTAAAGTGATGGACTTACAGATATGCTCAAGAGCTCTGGAGTTGCATTTAGCAACCAGCTGGCTGCCAGCTAGATTTTTCCAAAACACACAGCAAGAGCGGAAAATTTGCAGTGGCTCCCTGCTCAACCACTCTGAGGAAATTCACCTCTCAGCCGTGCAGATTTAGTAACAGATACAGGATTAAATTTTTGAAACAGATGCTTAATTTATTGATTAATCTAGAATTAGATCCATTTCAGCACCACATAGAGCACATCAGGACCTAAAGAAATCATGAAAATCCTGAACAGTGCACAATACAAAGTAGGGAGAGGTATTTTTATAGGTTGATAATAAAAAAGAAAATAATATACTCTACAAAGCACAACCAAGGATCTCAATGGACTTCAAGAGATGACTACACAGATATTTAAATCCCATTTCTTTTTAAATCCCATTTCTTTTTTTAGGACGCCTTCAGAAAGTAGGCAGAATATACATAGACAGATATGTTAATGTGTTTTATTTATACTAACAGGCAAAATTCCTCATTTATTAGGGGAAGAAAGGTTCAATTCAGGCCTAACACCCAAACTGGACAAGAAGGAATAGACTCTACCCCCCTCCGTTTTGCTGAAACTCACAGGGGAAAGGGACATCTCTGAATTCAGGCAAGGGCTCCTGAGCCAGAAGTAGGTCTCCCTTAGCCCGGGGCCCTTCTCCATTATGTGTCCCATAAGCCAACCTGGATTCTCATCCAACTCCAGATGAAACCCTGCGTTGCCCGCTTGCTTTCAAGCCACCTTTCTGGCCAAGAAGTTTTCCTGGTGCCTGTCCAACACCACAGCCTCTTCCTGCTCCTTCCAAGGTGGGGAAGCGATGTACCCAAATGCGTGGTAAAACCAATATGCCCAGGTGGCCGTCAGTTTTTGGCAGGGGAAAGGGGGCACGGACAAAGCATGGGGCAGCAGGAAGAGACCCCGATGCCTTTGCCAGGCATCAGGGCTGGCTGGGGAGATGGGAGGAGGTCAATGCCTGGGGGTGACAAACCCCCAGGGTACCAACCCAAGCCCCGCCTGCATCCCACCCACCTACCTGAGGCAGCTGCCAGCAGGCTACTGCGAGCTCCCCTCCAGCCCCCGCGCCCCAGCCCGGGGCGGCGGCTCCTCATCGCGGCCGGGCAGCGCAGCCTGGCGCCGCGCAGGGGGCCGGGAGAAAAGTTGAGCGGTGCCGGCAACCGCAGCAATAAACTCGGCAGCGCTACCTGCACCTCCGCGGGCCGGCGGGGAAGTGGGCAGGGATCATCTCACTTGATTGAC